CAGACTAAACAGACCCAAGTCCCTCAGCCTCTCCTCGTAAGTCATATGCTCCAGCCCCCTAATCATTTTGGTTGCCCTCCACTGGACCCTCTCCAATGCGTCCACATCCTTTTTGTAGTGGGGGGCCCAGAACTGGACACAATACTCCAGATGTGGCCTCACCAAAGCCAAATAAAGGGGAATAATGACATCTCTGGATCTGCTGGCAATGCTCCTCTTAATGCAACCTAATATGCCATTAGCCTTCTTGGCTACAAGGGCCCACTGTTGACTCATATCCAGCTTCTCATCCACTGTAACCCCCAGGTAAGGCAGCCAGTGAATAATCACTTGGTGTGGGCATCGAGGATCATCAATACTAGCATCACTTACCTGAAGGACTGATCCTGAGCCACAACACCTGTGCTGATTCCATGTTCCTCCTGTCCAAGCTACATTGGTGCAGTAGGTCTGGAGCTCATCCACGGTCATGTTCCAGTTAGCAGCAGCAGCTGTCCATCTTCAGCTTGCCTTTGCTATCAGGACCTGCAAGTATGAAACGGTTTAGATACCCAGAATGTCACTAAGGATGGGAGCCAGGCTTCATGCCTGCCTGGTTGAACCACTGAAGAGTTTATTATTTGATTATCTTTTCTCCTGGGTTACCCTGCTTGCTGTATACTTCCTTCAGTAAATCATGGCTTGTTTTGCACCTTATTCTGGGTTAAGTTTTTACTCACCTGAGGGAGTGGGGTCAGGCTCTAACTTACCAGATGATTAGATCCCAGAAGCTGGGGATGAATCATCATTCTTCTTGGCACTTATTATAACATTCTCAGTGCAACATGGCAACAGGTAGGAAGTGGCCTTTTCTCTTTTGAGCAGAGGGTGAAGCAAAAATGTATATTTTAATATTGGTTATAAGATTGTAAGTATGATGCATAATGATTTGATGTAATGACTTGCTTATAAGTTCTCTTTCTCTGTCTCTCATGATTAGATAATGTTACTGCAAGGCCTTGCTTCCTGTTAGTATTGCAAATTAAGTTGTACTCCTAGTAACTATTGATCTTTTTTCCACATTCACCACAATGATGGAGTCTCCCCTGTGTGGATTCTCTGGTGCAGAGTGAGACCTTTTGGATTACTGAACATTTTCCCACACTCAGTGCACTGAAGGGGAACCCCAGCACAATGGATTCCTTGGTGTCTCCTGAGGCTTTGAAGGAGACTAAATTTTTTCCCACACTCAGCACAGCAATGGGGCTGCTCCCCAGTGTGAATCCTTTGATGTCTGATGAGATGATCTCATAGGCCAAATTGTTTCCCCATGCTCATGGCACAGGAAGAGTTTCTCTCCGCTGTGGATCTTCTGGTGTCTAGTAAGATTTGATGTGAGCTTGAAGCCTTTCCCACACTGGTCACAGCGATGGGGTCTCTTCTCTGAGTGGATTGTCTGGTGATTACAAAAGGCTGACGAATCCATGAATCTCTTTCCGCACTCGGTGCAGGCAGAGGGTCACTCTCCTGAGTGGACTCTCTTGTGGATGGTAAGAGCTGAGATGTAGAAGAATCTCTTTCCACACTCAGCACAGCAATAGGGTCTCTCTCCTGTATGCATTCTCTCATGGGCAGTGAGGAGTGAAAACTGGGTGAATATCTTCCCACACACAGAACAGGGATGGGCCCTCTCCTTTCTGTGGACTTTCCCGTGTGCTTTGAGTGCTTCCTTTTTCCTAAAGCTCTCCCCACACTCGCTACAGTGATACAGATTCTGTCTCCTATGAACTGTCCAGTGGTGGCTTATCAGGTCCCCCTGCACCTTGAATTCTTCCTGGCAGGTACGGCAGGTATACAAGCTCTTTCTGGGCTCACCTTGTCCCGCTGTAGGAGGCTTTAGATATGACCTGGATTGCCTCTGATAGCTGCCTTGGGTTGCTGGCTCCTTCCTGGTCAGGTTCTTCCCCTGCCTTTGTGGCCCACACTGCCTCTTGTGGTGTCTTCTCTGCTCAGATTTCTGGGCATGGCTCTCTCCTGATGTCCCTGGGAAAGGTCTGGGTGACTCCAGATTACCAGGCCCCTCCTCAGCAGTTTGCCCCTTAGCTCTCCTCAGGGTCCTTGCCCCTGCTTGGCAGAGAAGAGAATCCAGATGTTATTGTCTGTGCCGCTGACAAAAGGAAACCATGAATAGTCCCAGCAAGGGGTTGTGCCTGAGGCATCCCCACATCTCTCCCATCAGAGCAGGGCAGGCCCTCGGTATTTTGACACCAAACTCCTCAAAGCCCCAGTGCTGGGCAGCAGGTCAATGTCCCGCAGGCCTTGTTACTACTCCCCCAAGTTAAAGAATGTGAGAGTCAGCTCCCATGATTCGCTCCCTACTCTGATGACCATCTCCGCTGGGAGAACAGCATCGCCACAGACTCTCTCCAGAGAGACCTGCATAGAGCACCCCCACTGGGATAGGGGCCAATGGCACAGGGGCAGGGAGGAAGGGACTGGAGGACTCTGCCTAAGTCAGGCCCTATCAAGGTCTGGATCGAGGTGTACAGATAGTTCGGAATGGCTTGCTAGTCTGAACTATCTAGCCCGTGCCACGTGTAGTCGCGCGGCACGGGGTTCGAACAAGCCGGCATTTAAAAATGGCGCCGGCCGGCTTATGCAAATAAAGCTCGGGAAATTCAAATCCCGGGCTTCATTTGCACGTTCGGTATGCATACATTACCCCGCTAGTTCGCACTAGCGGGGTAGTGTAGACATACCCTCAGTAATCAGATATGATTGACTAGTGCAATAGTCAAACTTGGAGCTGGGACGGGAGTGCCTGGAAGTGACAAAATACTTCTCCAAGCACCCCTAGTCCGGTGATGCAGGAATACAAGCTGTCCTCACTATAAGTCCAAGATATGTTTAAAAAAAACTTGGACTTATAGGGAAACAGCTTAAAGTGGGGGGTTCCCCCCCTCCCATGACTAACTTCCATTTGAGCAATTTTTTTCCACATGACTTAAGTGAGGGGAATGGAGGGACTTATAATGAATTGGTTCCTACAAGCATAAATGACTTTAGTGTGGAATGGATGTATACCGGGGTGACATAGCGGGGATGGCCTGTATGCCATTGCTAGAGGAGAAACTCCAAATATTAGACCCCTTTCAACTTTGTTTCTCATTTGACAGTAGCTACAGCACTGTCTTGTGGTGTTGTCTTGCCTTTTTATACATGACATCAGCCAGGCAGGACAGGAACGCATGGTCAGGACAACCTCAGAGACCTCTGTGGCTTTGCTTCAGGGAGTCTCCTTCCTGAAATCTCTCTTTGAGGACTCTGACGGGGATGAGTATTTAGGGGCCATACTGGGCAAGCCGTTCACCATGAGCTCCCAGTGGGATGCTGTGGTAAAGAAGGTTAGGCCAGCCTTAGATATATGAATCAAGCTGTGAGTAGGATGGGGAGGTGACACACAGCATCAGTGAAACTGAGACTGGAATAGTGCATCTAGTTTAGGTGTTTACCTTTGAAAAAGATGTTGAAAAACTGGAGATGGGACAGTAAAAGTCACCACATGTTTTAAGAGCTGGAAAAAAAGCCTTCCAGTGAGTCTTGGCAAAAGCTCAACTTGATTAGTTGATAAAGTTGGAGTCCTTTCATGGAGAGACACTATTAATCCAGCAGAGAAAGCACCCGCAGGCTGGAAACTGCAAAGAGATCTATTCCTAGAAATTCTTTGAAATAAGGCACAAATAGTCACCACCATCCGGGGGATTCCCCACTAGAAGAAATGCCCAAGAGCAGGGGTGGATTCTGCATCTCTTGATATCTTGTAATGAAAACTAGATGTTTCTCTGGAATGTGATTGGTCAGCAACTAGCTCCTGTGCCATGCAGGAGGACTGTGATATGCAGACGGTCAGATGAGCTGGTCTAATGGTCCCTTCTGGATCCAAAGTCTCCTAATTGATGTGTAGCTGAATGTAGTATAAGAACATAAGAACAGCCATACTGGGTCAGACCAAAGGTCCATGCAGCCCAGTAGCCTGTCTGTTGACAGTGGCCAATACCAGATGCCCCAGAGGGAGGGAATTCATAAGGTAATCCTCATGTGATCCCTCCCCTGTCACCCACCTCCAGAGAAAGAGGCGCTAGGGACACTGTTCCAACCCATCCTGGCTAATAGCCATTGATGGATCTATTCTCCATGAATTTATCTAGTTCTTTTTTGAATCCTGATAAAATCCTAGCCTTCACCACATCCTCTGGCAAGGAGTTCCAGAGGCTGACTGTGAAAGCAGCATGGGGAACAAGCCTCTGGTGTTTTACCCTGTATTTTGATGGATTTCCAGAATCAATAGTAATTGGGTGGGGTGATCCACAAGGAGCAGCTCAAATATCCAAAGGGGCTGGCCATAAGCAAGACATTAGCCCTGCAGGAGAGAGGTAGGTGTTGCAGTGACATCACAAAGGCCTTTAGCAAGACTTCAGCGTATTGGGCAATGATGGTGGTGACCTCACAGAGAGTCCATGACATCAGCCAGGCAGGACAGAGGTGCATGGTCAGAACAACCTCAGAGACCCCTGTGGCTTTGCTTCAGGGAGTCTCCTTCTTGAGGTCTCTCTTTGAGGACAGAGAGAACATTCTGGTTCATGAACATGAGTGCTTGGAGGAACCTCTGTCAAGTTTTCTCCTTCTCTTTGCCTGGTTTGACTCGAAAACAGACATCCCTGTGGAGAAGGTAAGAGCCTCTGAAGGTCTGGAATCTGTTCAGTCTGATCCACTTGGTGCCAGTTGAATTCTAGGCAAGGAGAACACTAGAACTCTAGATTGAGGTGGCAGAATTTGATTTCCTACTTAGGACTTCCTGCCTTAGAATCACCTGGAAAATGGGGGTTTCTCTATTTGCTTTCTTTTTTCCTTCCTCCTTCCCTCATTACTCTTCTTTTCTTGCCTCTGTCCTCAGGACCAGACGGCGGCATGGGCGAGTCGGGCAGCTGCCCAGGACGCCAACCAATGAGGGGCGCCTGATGCCAGCTGTAAGGGGCATCCCTTACAGCTGCCATCAGGAGCCGCACGCCCAGCTCCCGCAGCACCGGCCCCACAGCATCAGCCAGCAGCGCCCTCCCCCCATGGCTGCGGGGCCCTGTACGGCCTGGTGTGCAGGCCATAATTTGGGCCCTTGCAGAAAAAATAATGCATTAAATTGGATGGCTAAATTAGCCCGCACAAATTTAACCAGTGATGACATGCTAGTCGTCCTCAGGGAGTGCTTACTTCCTGAGGATTTTATAGCATTTCCTGCAGATCTGGCTAATTCAATCAACCCTGACTTTAATGCTATGTACAAAGCTTTGTACAATGATTTTTATCCTAATGATGACATTAGAGGCCATTACTATTCAGATAAACAAAGAGAAGGGGAGCGTCTGGAATTGTATTTTATCCGGAAAGAATTGCTCCAATGTTTAGCTGGTCTTGGAGCAGGAATTGATGGGAATGTTGTACATGACACTCCAGAGTTTAGGAAGTCACTCTTCCAAGAACTCCTTCCATCAATTAAAGCGGCTTTAAGTGGGTTGAGCTATGAAAGCACACCGCTGGATGTAATGAAAGACAGAATCAGAGAAGTGTTTGACTGGCAGCTCCAGGCGGGACTAATTAAAGTGTCAGTACCACCAAGGAAAATTTCTGAAGTAAAAGATATCAAGCCTCCAATACCTGCAAGAAGAAGAATTCCTCCTCCACCACCTCGAGCTTCAACTTCAGGTCGGTTTGTCCCAAGACAAAGTGTACACCAACAACCTTCACAGATACCATTCCAACCTACTAAGATCTTTAGAGGGAAGCGAGAAGAATTGGCTGCTACTAGACAAGTCTTAGCCAATAGATTAGCTTGTTATCTCCCATGGGAGAAGGTTAAAATGATGGATATTGATCAGATTTTCTGAGAGATTCCAAGGACAAGTTGCTATGGAGATGGGCAGCCTTCAGAATGTTCAGGTGCCACCTACAAGTAATCTGAACCCTCTATACTGATGGAGCCAAGGCTGGCCTCAGCCCCTGCATGAAATTGCTAGAATAGACTATGATGCATTTGGAAGACCTACTGTTCTAGTAGAATTAAAAGGCCAGTTCGGGGCAACTAGGCAAAGGATGCTAGTGGATACAGGGGCATCCACAGGCATTATATGCACAAAAACCTTTCCTATGACCAAGAAATCTAAGTCCAAATCCAAAACTTTACAATCTTATAACGGGAAGAAATCAACAATTCCTTTTGCTTCTGACATCAAGTGCCGGATTGGAATGATGGTAGCCAATATACCTATCGGGTTGCAAGATTTAGATGGCATCGGCATTATGGGACTTGACATGATGAAAGAACTCTGAATCATCGATTTGCCAAATCGACAAGTTCTTCGGGCAAAAAGACATGATGCAGATACTATGACAGTTGTTTCGAATGTGCATCGCCTAGGTGCAATAAAGGCAAGTGAAGAACTGCAAATGCCTTCCTGGGAGGATGACATCCGAGAAGCAATTAGTGATCATCTAGCAGTGTTTGCTAAACACAAGCAGAGCTGTGGAAAAACTTTGGAAGTCGTAGATGTTCCTGGTCCTGACCTGAAGCCTATGAAACAGTATAGGTACCCAGTGGAAGAAGAGAATGGCATAGAAGAAACTATTAACAATCTAGTTTCGCAAGGAGTCCTCATTAAGACACAAAGTCCATGTAACTCCCCAATTTGGCCAGTCATCAAAGCCGATGGAAAGACCTGGAGACTAACAGTGGACTACCGGGGCGTGAACAAGGTAACCCCGAGAATGGCTCCTGTAGTGGCCAAGTTCCCAGAAATAATGGCCCAGATTGCCGAAGGTGCCAGATGATTCTCAGTCTTAGATATTTCCAACGCGTTCTTTTCAATACCAATTGCCTCCTCTGCTTGGCATAAGTTCGCATTCGCATTCAGAGACCAGCAGTACACCTTTACTAGGCTTCCTCAGGGATTCCACAACTCGCCTACAGTGTGTCACCGCATCATCAGAAAGGTTCTCAAAGATATCTCATATTCTAACCACGTGATATCCTATGTCGATGATATTTTAATTGTGACCAAAGATAGGCAAACACATCTCAAGGTGCTAGAAGAAGTATTGAAAGCTTTAAAGCAAGCTGGATTTTTGATTAATCCGCAGAAAGCGCAGCTTGTGAAACAAGAGGTTGATTATCTTGGCGTACATCTCAGTCAAGAAGGAAGGAGACCTGACCAAGCGAGGGTAGAACTGATATCAAAATTACCTGCCCCTACAGATGTACACAGCCTTCGTTCGTTTCTAGGCCTTATTGGATTCTGTAGAGACTTCATTGAAGAATTCGGTAAGAATGCCAGACCACTCTATAAATGACTGAATAAAAGACAAGAGTGGGACTGGGGCCTGGAACAGCAACAAGCTTTTCAATACCTGCGCACAGCTTTGATGAGAGCACCAGCATTGGCCTATCCCAATCCAGATAAGGAGTATTATTTTACCCTTACAACAGGCAAAGAAGCAATAGGTGCGGTTCTTCTTCAACATCAAGGTACATCTCTCAAGTCAGTAGCCTATGGCTCCTGAACACTATCCGGTGTAGAGAAACAATACTCATCTTGTGAAAAGGAAGTGTTGGCGTTGACATGGGTGCTAATCCATTGGGAATATCTCATTCGAAAAACCCCCATTGTCTTAAGAACCAGTCATAGCCCAGTAAGTTACATCATATCAGGCCAAGCTAACAATGGTAGAGTTAGTCACCCAAGGCTGGCGAGATGGACTCTAGCCTTGATGAACCACAACATCAAGATTGAGCCCACTAAGTCACAGTCATTGGTTCCTACAAGTCTCTCAGTACCAATTGGTCCTGACCAATGACACTAATGTCCAATACCAGATCAAGTGGAAACGACAATTAAGTCCCCATTTGAACTATTATCCAAATATGAAGATGTGAAGAATAGAGCTACTCACAACATCTGGGTAGTTGACGGCAGTTGTTACCGCCGTGAAGGCAGTGTAGTTACAGGTGCTGCAGCACTCCATGCGTATATTGAACGAAAGATTCAGAAGCCTGTGTCTTTGCCATCGGCACAAGCCGCAGAGATTATTGCAGTCATCCTGGCGCTGGAGAACGCTTATACAGATAAAGATCTAGCTATCTGTACTGACTCTGACTGGGTGCTACGGTCGTTTATCGACTGGATGGTCATCTGAAAACAACAAGATATATGCACCAATGACAGCCGACCCGTAAAGTATGCTCAGTTACTTAATTATGCTTGGAGTCTTGCTGAGACAAGGAAAGGGAAAACCTATCTCTTTAAAGTTTGAGCACATAGAAAGGACCATCAAGAGATTTCCTTGCTCAACAATCAAGTGGACCAGTTAGCTAAGCAAGCTGCCACCTTGGATAAGAGGTTATCATGGAAATTACCACCGCAGTATGATGAAATCCATGCTGTTAAAGTCATTCCACCGCTAAAAGATACTCTAGATATTGTTAATGTACAGAACTCGGACAGAGAGCTTATGAAATTGTTGGATAAAAAGCAACGTAAGAACTTTGTAATCGAGAGAAATCTACAAGGACCCATAATGGCTCAAGAAGTCATTGATGGCCAAAACATAGGAATACCCCTTCTAGTGATGCCAACTGTTTTAAGACCTGACTTAATCCAACTAGTACATGCACAGGGTCATTTTGGCCTGGAGAAGACCATCTCCCGTATTAAATCAGTGGCTTGGTGGCCTCAGATGACAGCAGATACTGAACATTATATTAACAGTTGTTTAAGGTGTGCTCAAAACAATCCCAAACCTGTTAATAATCAGATTCCAATGAAACATCAGTCTATTGATGGACCTTGGAGAAGATTACAAATTGATTTCATCGGACCTTTACCAAGGACAGGAAAGGGAAACGAATATTGCTTGGTGATCATTGATCCTTTCACCAAGTGGACTGAGGCCATCTCCACAAGAAACTGCACGGCCAAAACAACGGCTCGTGTGTTGTTGAACGAAATATTCTCAAGATACGATTTACCATCAGTCGTAGATAGTGACCAAGGGTCATATTTCACAGCTGAAATCATAAAACAACTATGTGTCGCGCTAGGAGTTAAGCAGCGTTTTCATATTGCAGGACATCCACAGTCGTCGGGACTGGTGAAGCGTTCCAACCGTGTCCTGAAAACTGCTTTAAGAAAGGCTGTAGAAGCCTCCAGAAAGCAGTGGGATATACATCTCCCACTTATTCTGATGGCTATAAGATCAACGGTAGGGTCACACAGTTATACGCCCTACGAAGTTCTCTTCTGCAGGCCAATGAAAACACCTGAGATTTGGTGGGTCGAAGGAGGGATGCCACCCGAAGGTTTTCATCCTCGAATAAAAATAGCAGAATATCTGAGGCAGTTATTAGAAACGCTGTATAACATCCAACAGTCAGTGGCTGTCACATTAAACAGCAACATGCAGAAGATGGATAGAAGACTGGCGGAAGAACTTAAATTTCATGAATGGAGTGTCAGAGATAAAGTCCTGTACCGACACTTCAGTGAAAAGAGCCACCCGTTAAGTCCAAGATTGATGATGTAACAAGGTCCCATCCACAAGGCAGGCCCAACTGTGTACCAAATAGAAATTCCAACTAAAAAGAACCAGAAGATTGTAAAATGGTTCCACTCCAGTCAATTAAAAGAGTGGAAGGGGAAGTAAATAGGAGAGCCCATAGATAGCTAGGAGGGGTAAAACATCAAACTATCAAAGAAAACTACTAACTCAGTATCTTGTTATGTTTTGCAGGGCGAAACAACAATGGAAGTTAGGCAGCAGTATTGTATCATGTATTATGAGATATTAGCATTAGCCAGTTCATGGACCGTTATATTAGGCAGTGATAAACCTTACACTGAGGCATTGGTATTAGGGTAAGATGAGGTGTGGAGATGTCGTACTGGGGATATTCCTTTAAAATATTGGAATATCAAGACAACTGCCCAAGATGAGTCTCCTTTAGATCGTTATGTTTGGACAGAAATGTCATCTGCAAATCCCTTCTTTAACATAAAACGCATTGAGACCTTTAACTTTCAACCAAATGATGAAAGATGGCAAGATAGAGTACCAGTGATACTGGTGTACGCTCCCCAACGTATCACTCTCAGGGTTATTCAGGACCATAGGCGTTGTCACCTAGAAATCTGAGATGAGAGTGAGGGTAACGTTATAGCCTATTTTGTCAAGCACTATGATACGACCAAGTGGCTTGAAATTAATGTCTCAGGTTGGTTAAACGCCACGGTTTATACTAAGAGGGGAAGGTGCTGATGGGCTTTTACAGGCGAAAATTTATGTGCCGACAACAGGACAACTAGGTGTCTGACCGCTTGTACAAAAATACTGTCTGGTTGGTCAGGACCTGCTTGTATTTACATGGACATGCTGTACACTCCAATAATCAGAAAGGGGCAAAATCAAGTGACATGGGTTATAAAATTATATCATGGCCATAATGTCACAAACAACTTTCCAGCAGTAGTGACATCCCCCAGTGGAGTGGTTACAAACATCTTCCTAGGCTGTGACAAAAATTCAAGGTCTGAGGTATTGCACCATTATGAAAGGTGCCCTAGTTGTGAGGAGACTCCACAACCTGCGACATTTGTCTGTGTGGGCTATTTCGTTGCAAACATCACAGAATCTGGCACCTGGGCGGTATCGAGTATTTTTGGCATAAAATATTGTGTCAAAATGCTGGTAGCAGAACCTCCCCAGGAGTATGAGATGGGTCCATACGTAATAAACACTAACATTGCCAGACAAGTGTTGATTGAGCCAAAATATCAAATAAAATGGATACATGTACCCTTGCAAGTTACAACCGTTAGTATAAAACCATCCTGTCAAAAGTTTGTAAAACCTCTGATGGA